CAGCTGGAGTGCCTATATTATCAGTGCTTCATCAGCACAAAGAGATACAGATAAATATTACTATTGCTATGAAATGTTATATCCCCCCTTTTGTTTGAAAACAACAACCATGTATGGCTGTGTGACATATCAGAAATGTAATCAAAAAGCATAAACATGACAAACTAAGACAATTACAAAGAGAATGAAGAGATAAAAATGTAAAACAAGACTCCCAAGGAAGGATAAACAAGAGTGTCAGAGGCCAAATATGTACCTCTCAATTATTTTCAAAATAATCAAACAGAAGATCCAAGGAAGTAGAGGCCAATCAACCTAACCTCTGTACCAGAAATAATATTAGATTATGAAGGAGTCCATCTGGTTTGTCAATAAGAAATTCAGCCTAGCAAACATTGTACATTTTTCTTTTTCCGTTGTTGCAAAATTCTACATTTAGAGCATAAAAGCCAAATGCACAGATATTGGATGGGAAACATTTGGCTCAACAGGACTATATGTGAAAAGGACCTTATTTTTTTAATATTTTCAAATCATGGATGGTTGAATGCCTGGATACTGAATAGAGGGCCAACTGTATTACTATTTACTTGTGTTGTTGAAGGCTTTCATGACTGGAATCACTGGGTTGCTGTGAGTTTTCCAGGCTGTCTGGCCATGTTCCAGAAGAATTCTCTCCTGAGGTTTCGCCCACATCTATGGCAGGCATCCTCAGAGGTTGTGAGGTCTGTTGGAAACTAGGCAAGTCAGGTTGATATATATATGTGGAATGTCCAGGGTGGGAGAAAGAACTCTTGCCTGTTGGAGGCCAGCATGACTGTTGCAATTGCCCAACTTGATTAGCATTTAATGGCCTACAGCTTCAAAGCCTGGCTGGTTGCTACCTGGGAGAATCCTTTGTTGGGAGGTGTTCGCTGGCTCTTGTCTGGAATTCCTCTACTTTTTGAGTGTTGTCCTTTATTTCCTGTCCCAATTTTAGAGTTTTTTTAATACTGGTAGCCAGATTTTGTTCATTTTCATAGTTCCCTCCCTTCTATTGAAATTATCCATATGCTTCTTGTGGATTTCAGTGGCTTCTCTGTTTAGTCTGACATGGTGGTTGTTAAGTGGTCCAGCATTTCTGTGTTCTCAAATAATATGTTGTGTCCAGGTTGGTTCATCAAGTGCTCTGTTGTGGCTGACTTCTCAGGTTCATTTAGACTGGAGTGCCTTTCATGTTCCTTGATTCCCCCAAGCAGCAACCAGTCAGGCTTTGAAGCTGCAAGGCCATTAAATGCTAATTAAGGTGTCCAGTTGCAACATTCAGTGACTCTGGATGATGTGATTCAGTGAAATGCATTTTAATTATGCTTATTATATTTTAATTTTTAACTAAAGTTGTATGTTTTAAGGCACCGTGGAGGTGCAATTGTAAGCCGCCTTGAGTCCCCCTCAGGGTAGTGAAAAGCAAGATATAAATAAGGTAAATAAATCAATCATTCAAACTTGCCTCAAAGAGACAAGAGTTCTTTCTCCCACCCTGGACATTTCACAAATATATATACCTCACTTACTTAGTTTCCAACAGACCCCACAACCTCTGAGGATGCCTGCCATAGATGCAGGCAAAACGTCAGGAGAGAATGCTTCTGGAAGATGGCCATACAGCCCGGAATACTCACAGCAACCCAATTATTTACGGTACTTATCTTTAGATGTATATTTTACTTTACCCTAACTGAGTTCAAGACTATATCCTTAAAACCACCCTGCAAGGTAGGTAAGGCCCAAGAACATCCAACGAGTTTCATTGCTCAAGAGGGTCTTGAACCTGGATCTTTCTCAAGTCCCAAATATTCCTGTGTAGCCATTGCACTTTATTGGTTCTATTAGGGTATGAAATTCAGTTTTTTTAGGGTCAAATCCTGCTTTTCTAATGCCTCCTTGAACCTGTTCCTTCCCCTGAATTTAGTATTTAGAGGCAGCCATGAGCAGCTTTAAAACAACTTAAGTTCGTGCGCTGCCAGGTACATCTGGCTCATTGCCCTGGAAGGAAAGAGGCACACCTACATAATCTGCTAACGTTTTAATTGCATTCATTGGTCTGGATATATACAGGGCAAATTAGAGGGATAGTTGATTATCAGGCAACCCCTATCCATATTTCCAATGCTGGGGTGTTTCTCCATCCATGTAATGAACCATTCCCTCTCCCTTCCTTGGAGACAAGATTTATGCCATAGAAATCACAAATCACACATTTCTGCAAAGTAAAGCACAATTTATAAACAGCGAAGGGGTGGGGAAGATTAACAATATGCTTAATTATGGGTTCTTTCCTAAATCCCAATTGCCAGGGGCAAGAATACATTTTTTGTACCTCACCTGCCAGTTAAAAGGGTAGTATTATTTATAGTTCACCGCTCCTGAACAGGACCCCAAATTCTGGCCCCATTTTGCCCAATAGTAGTGTGTGTTCTCTTCATTTCTTTTTTGCAAGGCAACGTTGAACAACCTTTCCCCTTCCAGATGCTTTGGACTTCAGTTCAAAGTGATGGTCAGGGGCGGCTCGTTCATTACACGAAGTAAGCGGTTGCAGAACACTTTTTTTTGCCAGGGGCGCAGAGGCGCCTCTGTAAATGCAGTAAACCACCACTCGAGGAGCACCCCCTCAGCTCACAACAGCCCTAGCAGTCCGGGGGGAGCCTAACCGTTCTTGCCTCGCTGCCGGGCGATCCTCTTCCTAAAGGGGCCTGGCCCTTGAGCCTCACCTAGCCCCTCTCATTCCTGCTCCACCCGGCCACCGGGTGCGCGAGCAGAGCCGGCGCTCAATCGTTCTCCGCGTTCGATCCCTTCCCCATGACCGGCTCCCTTTCCCGACCCCCCGGCGCTCCACCCGCCTCCTCTCCTCTCCCCAATCCGCGGGTGGGCCAAGGGGCAGAGCCGCCGTGCATGGCCTGCTTCGGGTCTGGAGGCGTGTCTGAAGACCCCAGCGTGCGCACCAAAAGTCGCCTCTTCTCCTGACTTTCTCTTCAGCCATTGGGACCAAGAGAGAGAGGGAGAGAGAGAGCCCCTCCGGCTGGAGGTATCTCCCACCTCCGCTCCCTCCTTTGTTTTTGCGCCTACCTTCAGGAAAGGTGGGCATCTCCACCTCTCTCTCTCTCTCTCTGGTCCCAATGGCTGAGGAGAAAGTCAGGAGAAGAGGTGACTTTTGGTGCACACGCCGGGGTCTTCAGGCACGCCTCCGGACCTAAACCGGGCCAGGCAAAGGAGCAAGTGCAGCAAGTGTAGTTACTGGGATGTATAGTTCACCTACAATCAAAGAGCATTCTGAACTCCACCAATGATGGAATTGAACCAAATATGGCACACAGAACTCCCACGACAAACAGAAAATATATATCAATGATTGGTTGGGGGGGGGCACCAAAATACTGTTTGCTTACCGTTGAAAATTACCTAGGGCCGTCTTTTAAAGTGATGGTACTTACCTTGAAGGCCTTACATGGTCTGGGGCCGATGTACCTGAGGGACCGCCTCACCCCCTACCAACCCCAGAGATCTCTCCACTCCGAGGACCAAGATTTATTGGAAGTTGCCAGTTTTAAAACCTTGCGTCTAACAGCAACTAGACGCAGAGCCTTTACAGCAGTGGCACCATCGCTCTGGAACACTCTGCCACCAGAAGTCCGTGCCTTGCGGGATTTATCAGCTTTCCACGGGGCTTGTAAGACATATTTGTTTCGACAGGCTTTCGATCTTTGATATGTTGTTTTGAATTGTGTTAGATTCTAGTTTGTTTCTTGTAAGCTGCTCCGAGCCCTAGGGCAGTGGCGGCATATAAGTTTGAATAATAAACAAACAAACAAACAAATAAGAGGGACAAATGCAAGATACTCCACTTAGGCAGAAAAAAATGAAACGTAAAGACACAGAACGGGGGACAATGCTTGGCTCAACAGCAGTACATGTGAAAAAGATCTTGGAGTTCTCATGGACAGGAAGGTGAACATGAGCCAACCATGTCATGCGGTGGCTAAAAAAGCTAAAGGGATTTTGTTTGCATAAATAGGAATATACTGTCTAGATCCAGGGAACTCATGCTACCCCTCTATTCTGCCTTGGTCAAACCAAGTATTTGTGTATATGTGTGGAGGCTCCTTCTTTAGAGGCTTTTAAACAGAGGCTGGATGACCATCTGTTAGGGGTACTTTGAATGCGATTTTCCTGCTTCTAGCAAGATTGGGGTTGGACTGGAGAACCCACCAGGTCTCTTCCAACTCTAGGATTCTATGATTCAAATGAGTGCATCTCTCTGGACTATGACTCCAATAACTGTGTATAGAAGGCCCTCCACATTTGCTGGGGATCATTCCTAAAGAGAACATTTCTCCACACATTTGTATGTCCTCCAGCATGATTCTGTGGTCAACACAAATTTAAAATGTATTGTTAGAGTCTGAGAAAACATCTCTTGAGGTCTTGAGTAGACTCAATAGCCAACTTCTACTGGAGGTTGACCACAGGGTCATGAGATATTTTCTCTAGATTGTCCAGCATATTTCTATGGCCACCTTCTCCAGAAGTTGACCAATATTAATCAAATCCACGAATAATTAAATATGCATAACTACAAATTTGGATGCCTGACTGTATGATATCTCAGTTCATAAGTAAGCAGGCAAGATACAAATGTGTACTGAAGAGGTGGACAGTTCCAGACTTCTAGAAGCTTTTGGCTGACCAGTTCTCACCAGCTGTGGTCTATAAATCTCAGCAGTTGTAGCTACACATCAGGGGTTTGCCTTTTTGTGATGCCTTTGGCCTACAAGTCTCAATCAGCTCTATAAAAGTGATGCAACCATGACAGAGGCTAAAACTCTCTCCAAACAGACTGTGATCCAGTTGATGTTTTCCATCTCACTTGCCCCATGGATTTATTCTGGCTTCTAATCCAACCAAAATCAAAACTCAGAACAGACCCTTTCACAAAACATATTCAGACCACAAATTGCTAAAGATGCATTAAATATCAAATATTTATTCCACTTATAAAAAGGAGTAGAAAAGCGAGACATCAGATCAGCTCCTACGGCTGTTTTAAATACATGTTTGGAACCTTGTTTATCAGCAATCTGTGCTTTTCTATACATTTTGGACAAGTTCGACTGTCTCAATTCATATTAAGATGCAAGGTTTTTAATCATGCTGGAATCCAAAGACAGAGAGAAAGCCACAATTGGCTGACCAGGCAGAATATTATCACTCAACATGATTTCAAAACCTGTGTGAATGAGCTCAGCGGAACAAAATATAACCTTGCAATGTAATCCGTCCATCAAAACCCATAGGCTTAAACCCCAAGAATGCATACAAAGGACATATACTCCGGCAGAAACATTTTGGTAGCTTGGTGCCACCTAGCGATCAATTCAGGGTGTTGGTTCCTCAACATCCTACACCATTTCCATTTGGCACTCTTCTTCTCCTTTTGGCTCTGGACGTAAATCCTCATTAAACTGCCACCGAATGGCCCTCCTGCCTCATCTGGGGACTCTTCCCTTGCAAGGGAGAGCCTGACACATCCAAGTTGCTTCCAGACTGGTCAAAATCCAAGGTTGGTGGAAGTAGTATCTGCAAAATAAAATGGAGAATTTACACAAGATTTTTTTAAAAGTTACCTTATATTCACAGACCATTCTCCAACCAGAATAGAGAGAGAAAATGATACCCCTGGGATGAGCATTCCCAGTATCCCTAGCAAATATGGTCACTAGCTCACAACAAAATGGGATTGATAACTTGCATTTTGGAGCTAAACTTAAATAAATACACATACAGTGCAGTGCCTAAAGACCTTGGCCTGCACTTAAACACATTCAGTGCTCACAAAATTACCACCTGCCAGCTGCAAAAGGCCACCCTACTTGGATCTGCACGCATTATTCACTGATAGATCACACAGTCCTAGACACTTGGGAAGAGTCTGACATGTGATCCAATACAACAGCCTGCATAGTGATCTTGTTTTCTGTATACTAATCTTGTTGTGCTTCAAATAATAATAATAACAATAATCATCATCATGATCTCTGAAAAGGAGACGGAGGGCCTGATTCTGGCAGCCCAAGAACAAGCCACTCGAACCAATGCCATCAAAGCCAGAATTGAAAAGTCGACAACAGATCTCAAATGTAGACTCTGCAAAGAAGCAGATGAAACAATAGATCACATCCTCAGCTGCTGCAAGAAGATCACGCAGACAGACTACAAGCAGAGGCATAACACCATTGCTCAGATGATTCATTGGAACTTGTGCCACAAATACCATCTTCCTGCAACAAAGAACTGGTGGGATCAGAAGCCGGAAGATGTTCCGGCAAAACACTCGCCGGAACATCTCAGCAAGCGAGAGTCCAAAAGTGGCAGGCTCAAACCCAGAACCTCAACCAATGGCTGATACCTAATGAGAGACTCCCCCATGGGCACACAGAAAACTGGGCAACTTGGAAGGTGCTGAACAGACTGCGTTCTGGCACCACGAGATGCAGAGCCAACCTTCAGAAATGGGGCTACAAAGTGGAATCCTCGACATGCGAGTGTGAAGAAGAGCAAACCACAGACCACCTATTACAATGCAGTCTGTGCCCTGCCACATGCACAATGAGGACCTTCTTGCAGCAACACCAGAGCACTCCAAGTGGCCAGATACTGGTCAAAGGACATTTAATCAACTACCAAACTCACAGTTTTCATATTTTGTCTGGTTTTTTTTTTTTGTTCTGTTAGAAATGCAATATAATCGACTGGTCGCACTGACACGATAAATAAATAAATAAATAAAGAAGCCGGAAAAAGTTACAGAGAATGAACAAGACAGAGTTTTGGAGCATAATACTCCTGACCTCACAATCATGTTAAAAAACAAAGTATGGATCGTCGACGTCGCAATCCCAGGTGATAGCAGGATTGCAGAGAAACAACTGGAAAAGCTGACACGATATGAGGATTTAAAAATCAAATTGCAAAGACTCTGGCACAAACCAGTAAAGGTGGTCCCAGTGGTGATCGGCACACTGTTTGCAGTGCCTAAAGACCTTGGCCTGCACTTAAACACAATTGGCTCTGACAAAATTACCACCTGCCAGCTGCAAAAGGCCACCTTACTGGGATCTGTACACATTATTCACCGATACATCACACAGTCCTAGACACTTGGGAAGTGTCCAGCATGTGATCCAATACAACAGCCAGCAGAGTGTCTGCTGTGGACTCATCTTGTTGTGTTTCAAATAATAATAATAATAATAATAATAATAATAATAATAATAATAATAATAATTTTACTTTCCTGCCAAGGTGGTACCTTTTGGTCTACTTGCATTGCATGCTTTCAAACTGCTATGTTGGCAGAAGCTAGGACAGACAGCCAGGAGCTCACCCAACTCACAGCTTTGAACTGCTGATCCTCCAGTCAGCAGCTTTTTCACACAGCTAGCAGGTTTAACCTCTGTGCTACTGTGGCCCAAACCCAATAACAAACTTATCTCCATCTATTAACAGGAAAAAAACTATCAATAGTTCCTTATGGTGCTACAATTTACCTAATCATGAAATCATATAGTAAAAAGAGACCGCAAGTGCCATCCAATCCACCTTGATTCTATCATGCAGGAAAGCACAATCAAAGCACGCCTAACAGATGGCCATCCAACCTCTGTTTAAATAGCTCCAGAGAAGGTAGGAGGCTCTACCAGACTCCCAAGCATCATATTGCACTGCCAAACAGCAACTACCATCACAAAGTTCATCTTCATGCCAAGGTGAAATATCTTTTCCTAAAATTTGAACGAATTGCTCCATGTCCTAGTCTCCCAATCCACAGAAGTAACATAAAGGGATAGAGTTTCCCTCCTTCCTCTCACTTCATTGTAATTAAACTCATTCTCTTCCCTCCCCCACTCTCTATACATATATAAACTTAAACTCTGCTGCATTGAAAAGTTGCTTTGAATACAACAATAGACAAGAAAAGTCCAGAGCAGCAGAACTGCAGGAGGACGGAGCTCAAAGACTTGCAAGATTGAGCGCCTTCATATCAACATGTTGCCATATCCCTGGCTGTAGGAAAAGATCCTTAAAGTGCTGAGCTGCTGAACTTGCTGACTGAAAGGTCACAGATTTGAATCCAGGGAGTGGGGGGAGCTCCTGCTGTTAGCCCCAGCTTCTGCCAACCTAGCAGTTCAAAAACATGCAAATCTGAGTAGATCAATAGGTACTGCTCCAGTGGGAAGGTAGTGACACTCCATGAAGTTATGCCAGCCACATGACCTTGGAGGTGTCTATGGACAACGCTGGCTCTTCAGCTTAGAGATGGAGATAAGCACCAACCCCCAGAGTTGGACATGACTAGATTTAATGTCAGGGGAAAAACCTTTACCTTTAATAGGAAAAGATCATGTGGGAATGTCCTCAATTTCCAACTATGCATAGATATCTGTATCTGCATATGAGCTGCACAATCTGTCGGTTGTATGTTATTCCAAGATGATACACAGATAAGACATTAAAGGCGGGCTGAAGCATGGGAGACTCTTCCATAGATCTTATCCAGCAGGACTGCCTTAAAAGTCCACCTCTCCGGGAGCCAATTTGGAGAAAAGAGACTGTTAATAATATATCAACCGCCTCTCCATTTTCTGGCCCCAATGCACCCATGTACTTTCCTTCTCCACTCCCAAACTCGCACGTCGCAATGTTGAAAATGGAACAATAGAAACCTGGCCTTGTATTGGTTATTGTCCAGGCCTCTGTGTGTGCATTCACGTGTTGTGTGCATGTAGCTATCCTCACCGCGAACAGAAAACTAAACAGGAAATTCAAACACAATCAACATCCTCCCTTTGAAAAGCGGACAATAAAGAACCACCCACGGCCAGCTTCACGCTGAGAGTTTTGTGGTAATATTTAAGGGACAACGGAGGCTTGAAAGGAACCATCATTCCCATTGTGCTTGATTGAAAAGCCCAGTTACGCAGCCCCTGAGGATGTGCAGTGTTCCTCTCCTTACTTCTATTGCCTCCTGTACACTTTGCATGGAGAGCGACTTCTACTTAAGACAGCATCCAAATTTCTCAATATGTCACCTTTCAGTTCTATTGAGACTACAGCTTCCATCATCCACACCAATCACTATTGAGGTCTGGTGGGCATTGTGGTCCACTGTAGAATTAATGCAGTTTGATACCACTTAAGCTGCCAGAGTTCAATACCATGGAATCATAGGAGTTGTAGTTTGACAAGATGTTTAATTAAGCCTTCTATGTAAAAGAGTGCTAGCATCTTACCAAACTGCATGTTAGAAACCAAGTGAAAGAAGATTTTAACACTTATGGCAATGATTTGACCCGGACTGGATTTTAGACTCTGATTTTAATAGGTGTGTGTTAATCTATCTATCTATCTATCTATCTATCTATCTATCTATCTATCTATCTATCATCTATCTGTTTATTTATTTGATTTGTATACCGCCACTCCAAATTTAGCTCGGGGCGGTTTACAGCAGTAGATTAAAAACAATACAACCAAATTTAAAATACAATAAAAACGAGACCAGACATAGTCCCGAGTTATTCACCCATCGAAAGCTTGTCGGAAAAGAAAGGTTTTACAGGCTTTCCGAAAAGTAGCTCTTGGATGGTTCGGGTTTCAACTGGCAAGGCATTCCATAAATAAGGGGCCACAATTGAGAAGGCTCTCTGCCTAGTAGAGGACAGATGATAAGTCCGGATGTTGGGGACTTCAAGCAAATTTTGGTCTTCGGACCGAAGTAATCTCTGGGGTTGGTAGGGGGATAAGTGGGCCCTCAGGTACGCCGGCCCCAGACCATATAAGGCCTTAAAGGTTAGTACCAGCACCTTGAAAGTGATCCGGTACTCAATCGGAAGCCAGTGCAGCTGTTGTAGAATTGGGGTAATACGACACCTCGCCGGCACCCCGGCGCGAAGACGAGCCGCCGCATTTTGCACCAGCTTCCGGATCACTGACAAAGGAAGGCCAATGTAGAGGGCGTTACAGTAGTCAAGCCTCGAGATGACCGTCGCCTGGATCACCGTAGCCAGGTCATTCCTAGATAGGAAGGGAGCCAGTCGCCTAGCCTGACGTAGGTGGAAAAACGCAGATCTGCTCACAGCAGAGACCTGGGCCTCCATTGTGAGCAGAGGGTCCAATAAGACACCAAGGCTTTTTACAGAAGGTGACGGACGTAGTGTCTCGCCATCCAGGGTAGGCAGCTGGATCTCCCTCCCACCCGGACAGCCCAGCCAAAGGATCTCCGTCTTCGCTGGATTCACCCTCAACCTGCTGGCACGCAACCATCCAGTAACGGCCTCAAGGCACTGATGGAAATTTTCGGGTATGGAGTCCGGCTGGCCCTCCATCCTCAATTGTTTTAATTATTGTTTTAATATTTTTAATATTTTAATGTATTGTTGATTGTTTTATTATGATGACATCCTATGGTGTTTGTGAGGCCACCCTGAGGGCAAGAAGGACGGGGTATAAATATAGGAAATAATAATAATAATAATAATAATAATAATAATAATAATGGTGGCACAATGAGTTAACCC